CGACGTTAAGAAGTTGGCAATTAGTTGGAGTGTGCTGCCTGGAGGTACCTACGCTACGGCGGAGGGCCCCCGTGTTCATTTGCATATCTAATGTGGCACTGTTATATAATATAAATGAAGTTTCTTGGCCTACAACCTCGATGGGCGGCTGGTGTGAGGGTGGAAAGAAGGAGGAAATTGCTGTACATGGAGTTGTTACCTGAAAAATTTGTTGATAGCCGGATATTTTTGATAATAGGGAGAGAATGTATTGCAACTTTTACGGCTTCTTAAGATATGCAATCTGGAATTTTAATTTTCAAGAGAAACAGATTGTAGAAATAAAAGAAGATATCAAATTTATGAATGTGGACAAGAATAGCAGTCTCAAGGACAAATAAGGCAGATAAAGTTAGAACTTTATTTTCAATAAAGATTGGACTACAAGATCGCCTCTGATTGGCCCCAACATAACGCACTGCTTTTTTCTGCAATAAAACTACGATGGCTGAGTTCGTTTATTACATCTGCGAGCAAAAAGAGTAAATTTTGACAGATGTCACGTGATTTGACACGTGAAAAAGGCAAGTGATCACGTAACGTCCTTCAAAATTTGCTCTTTTTGCTCGTAGATGCAATAGACGAACTCAGCCGATGTTTAACAAGTAGTACTGAGCTGCTTTCGGGTGCCACAGTTTGAGCACTCCAGAGTTACTCCAAAGTACTTCGTCCGCAATTTGGCACGTTCGTCTGCGCAGATTTCGCGCTTCGGAGCTGTTTTCATTTACCTCGTCCCTGTCCCCTGAAACACCTACCTTTTTCATCGTCACATGGTTAAATTCAATTGAGAAAAGTCAGCATTGTGGTGTGAAGGGTACAATGTGCGTCAATAGTGGAGTGCTCTAGAAACTTGATGCCCTATACCTGGAACTGGCTCTGACTACTCATGCCCCTGAAAGCCATACCTCAAGTGGGAATCAAAGAGGGCCAAATATACATCTCGTGCTACCCTGGAATCGAGAGCAGCCTTGATTGCGAAATTAGCGGATAATATTTTTTTGTTAAGCTTGATGTTCTCTTCAGAACGCAATTCGCTATCCATAAATACACCCGAAAATTTAGTGGAAGGGCTCGCAGATAATAGTTCACTCTGTCCAAGTACAATCCCTCCATGTCACATTTAAAATCTATTATATGAGTCTTCCCGATGATCAAAGAAAGTCCATTACAGTTAAATTAGGTCTTTATCCTTGATACCTACATCATGGGACACATTCTGCTTCAGAACATCAACAGAGTCATTGCACCCGACAACAAAGGTATCATCCGCAAAGAGAGTAAAATGACTAGATATATTCACTCTGAAAAGACCATTGATACATACCAGCAACAGAAGAGGCCCCAAAACAGATCCTTGGGGTACCTCATTCTCGATCCTCAAGACTGAAGACCTACTATACCCGATACAACAACTGACTGCTGACGATTGTCCAAATACGGCAGAAACCACGCAAACGAAGAGCCCCTGAATCCATACAACTCAACTTTGACACAGTATACTGTGGTCCATGCAGTCGAAGGCCTCAGCCACCGCCCTACCATCAGGTCAACGTAAGCCCTATAGTAGAAAAATCAAAAAAAGCATCGTGAGCTCCTAGGAAGCTCCAAAATCCGAATTGCCCAGAAGAGATAAGATTGTGTGAATGAAGAAAGCATCATACTCTTTTTTTAATAATTTTTTCGATAAACTTGGATAAAGTCGAAAGCAAGGAAATTGGACCATAATAAAAATGATCCCGAGAATCTCCACCGTTATGCAGAGGAATCACTCTTGCAGATTTCAGGCATGAGGGAAAATTACCCGTACGCCACGAGCCATCAATAGCCAATGACAAGACCCCAAATGCATCATCAGGCAAGGTTCGAAGAATTTCACAAGATAATTCATCATCACCACATGACTTTGTATTTTTAATATCCCCACGAGCCTTATAGATTTCAGGCCTTAGAACAGGGGTAAAACAAAAAGAATTTGGAACAGATAACTCCGACAAATAGTCCAAAGGATCCGTTGTAGTAGGCATGTTGTCAGTTGAACTACGAGCTATATTACAATAGAATGAATTCAATGTTTTGGGTTAGTCATCAACATTAACCTCGAGACGATTGCATTGTTTGGATCGATTACATACCTCACTGTTCGTTTGATGTTGAATTTCGATTTATCTTCGATAATAAGAGCCGCGGGACTGTAAACGCGTTGATTCATCTAAATTTTTGCCGAAAAATAAAAACTATTATATTTGAACCCGAGCCATACAAGTACAAAATGGAGGCACTTAACGACGTTTTCTTTTTCTGCAGGTGCACCTAATGGTCTACCAATTCTTCTACGAACACAATTACTAGGTTTGAAATATCTTCTTAAACTAGGAGGTTGATTTTCTAACGGATTTTGGATTGAATTTCAAAGGATCGGTTTTGAGAGTTCTGAAAACTCAATTGACAAGTTCGAATTTCTCTCTTAATCTGGTTGGTGCGCTGATTTCAGGGAAGCGCATCGAATCTTCTCATGCCATATAGAACTTGAAATTGTATGGCGGCAAAATTTAAAATCAAGTATACGAATAAAATTAGTTGCTGTTGCGATAAGATATAAGCTGGTCATTGCCGGTAAGGTAAAAACTTTTTAACATTATTAAGCCATCGCAAGTTTCCAGAGGACACCCTTAAGCATTCTGTAAGCCAAGGCTTTTTTTTTCTTGTTTTACGTTTAATCCACCGCAACGGAAATGCTCTTTCAAAAACTTATCAGAAACATTTTTTCAATGATCCATTTGAAAGAAGATACTTTTGTAGAATAGATTTCCATATTTTTAAAAGAAGATGGCTGTTCTGACAGAATCAATAGACCTATTATTTGTCACGAAATAAATTCTTGAAATGCTCAGTAAATCCGCCATCGAGTTAGGACGATATACCTGTAGCTAAACAGGAAAAAGTGTATAGTAGATAAAATGTTGAAAAGCTATTAAATACTAGTGCAGCTCTGGTTATCTCCTATCGCGCTAGTCGCTGATTTTGTTAAGATTCTGGAAACCTTGAGAAGGCTAGTTTTCCAGGGTCATTCAATGGACAGCACCTAACGCGAAGGTAAGTATGACATCTTTCAAAAAAAGTTCTTTTGTGATGCCCCCGAAGAAATTCACATAGATGAAAGAAAAACTCAAACCATCAAAGACTGTTGGTTGGTTGACTGAGATGCCAACAGGCAGGGTTAGGTAGCCCCAACACTGCAGCCGTAGGCTTGTTCTATTGACCTGTCCGTCTATTTAGTCAGTATTTTCGTTTCGTGTTTCATGACCTTGATTAGGTTTGGGAACTTCTTCACCGTGTTACTTTTGGTGAGTTTAGAGATAGGGCCTTCTGGCCATATCTGGCTGTATCTCCACCAGCGTAAAGCCTCACATTCGAAGATTATGTGGGTGACGGTTTCATCCTCCTCGTCACAAAAGCTGCATATGGGTTCTTCTTGGAGGATGTCCATTGTGTGAAGGTGTTTTCTCAGGCTACAATGTCCAGTTATAAGTCCAGTTCTTAGCCTGATTTGATTGTAGGATCTCTTCAGTTAGGTGATGGTTCTTTTACCATTGCTCACTGTGTCTTGGCTTCGGAAGAGTTTGCTAGTAAGTTTGGTTTTGTCTATACACTCATTGGTTTATTTCTGGGAGTTTGTCCATATGTTCCACCGCCGGTTCCAGTTTCTGTTTTGGAGCCGTCAGTAAACCATGCAATTTTTGTTTAGGTGTTGCTCCGGTATTTCCTACTGGGACAATCTCGATGGAGAAGGGTTTTTCGAGGGATTTTTTCGGCATCATATAGTCGCTACCCATGGCTAAAATCAGGTTTGTGATTACTTTGGTGATTGCCGCATCTCTATTTGGTTTTGGGCTCTAGGTTTCGTTCAGCTGAAGACGATATGCCCTGATTCTAGCTTTCGCATTGAAAATAAGGTCAATTGGTGGGCGGTTTAGGACCGTCTTGCTGTTGGGTACTTTTCTGTGCACCGCTGATACAAAGACATGCAAGTCTCTGGATTTTGGCTAGCTCCAGGTTTGCTTGCCTTTGGTTTACTTTATGCCACCATACAAGTGCACCATAGGTTATCATTGGTCTTACAACCGTAGTGTATATCCAGTGTACAACTGACGATTTTAGCCGCCATGTTTTCCCAATCGCTTTTTTTAGTGACATCAACGTCATCTTGCTTTTGGTGTTTACCTTTTGGATGTGTTGGTTCCATGTCAGCTTCATATCTAGGATGTCGCCTAGCTTTTTTGGAATGGACTGGGGGCGATTAAGTTTCCCAGATTTCTTTTTGTCGAGAAAGAAATGAGTTTTGTTTTGGAGGGGTTGACGCGAAGTTGCTCTCTCGTGCACCATCGGCGTTGGCAACGTCGCATTTATATTCTGCGTCGAAAATTCTCGTCGGAAAAAACGGGAAAAAGTAAGCAAATGCACAAAGTAAAAAGAATAAATACATCGGACAATAAAAACTAAACCTGCAGGAAAGGACAAATACAAAAAAATGGCGAAAAATTAACTCTACGAGCAAAAAAACGGCAAAATTACAATGCAAAATTAGGAAAGTGAAACATAACCCAAATCTTCTAAGGAAAAGTAGCCTGCAACAGACATAAACAGAAAGCAGTTGATGTCGGACAGATTTTGCTGACGCAGTACCTTGATCATCCATCTCGTGCTAATGGTAAACAAATAACCATACTTTTTGAGAAGACAAAGGAAAACGGAAAACTTGAAATTCAAATGTCACAGAAGCCAGGACATCCATTTTCTTATATGTGTGACATGCTACTCAGTGGCGCACAAATCATGCCAAGAAAGACTCAAAAATTGGATACACATAAATGACCATAAGATGTACTGCTCGAGAGCCTGCCAGGAAGATGCAGAAATAAGTGAAAAACTTCTGGAAAATGCTCAGTTATTAAAGAAAGAAAATGACGAGCTACTGCAGGCATTGGAACAGAAAGATAATTAGGTACATAAAAAGAACAATAGCAATAAAAGAACAAATAAATACAGATGCCATAGAGATAGAAGAATTCTTTACAAGACAACTGGAAGAAAGAAAAAGTCAAATAAACCTGTTCGAAAGCCAAAAAAGTGAATTACAAAGAACAAAAGCGTTGATACAAAAACCAAAAGCCAACGGTTCGACACAAACTACAATAAATAAAACCGACTCATATATCCAAACGGAGTCAGCAAAAATGGTGACATCAGCAAGCCGAACAACGATTGGAACTGAAACAGTAATAAACACACAAGGAAGACAAACAGCAATTCAAACGATGAATGAAACTGAAACAGTAATAAATACACAAGTAAGTCAAACAGAGCAAGGACAGGAAACCGCCTGTCAAACCACGAGAGCTCCGATCGAGGAAACAACAAATGAAATAGAAATAGATTGTGAAGTAAAACCAGAGAAAGACAGTTTATATACTGAACTATTAATAGCTCAACTACTACGAATACAAATTGACAAAGAAACACAAACAGCGGACTGCCAAAAAACGGGGTACAGCACAAAAGAAATAAACACAACAGAGAGAGCAGTAGAAAAAGTCCCACAAATCGTCATTCTGGGTGAAAATACAATAAAGGGAAGTATGCAGATTCTCAGAAGATTGAAAAATGAGAGATATATGACACAAACTGTCAATATAATCACATCTCAAATGAAGAAATAATTACTAAAAGTAGAGCACTTCCACAAAATTTATCTCTGAAAGACCATGTTATCATATTTTTAACACAAAAAGACCTAATTAGAGGGAAAACTCTAACTCAAAAGCTACTTCAATAATTAATATTGGCAGCCGAGCACACAAATGTATAAGTAGTGGGAACATTGTTTGCTAGAAAAGAAAAAATTGAACTAAATAAAATGATACAAAACCAAAACGATCAAACAAAACTCTACCTTTCAAACTTAAATATATATTTTGAAGATCCAAATAACATACAGGATTATACAGGAAGATTTGATTGGAAATTTAATCTCATGGAGAAAGTGTACAATAAATATATAAACACAAAACATCACGATTTCAACAAAGAAGTGGAAAGAAGGCTTCAAGCGCTAACGAAAAAAGGACCACAAACTAAAACAGACATAAACATACTACAAAATATAACAATAACACCAACATACACAGAAAAAAATAATCCTCAAAACAAACAATGAAACAAATAAGAACATCGACTCCAAATAAAAATTTTTGGAAGGCAGGGCAGATAAGGCACTGGAGATAACAAATAAAAAATCTACAAAACAACCACAGAAACCTCAACAAAAACATCAAAACGAAAGTGGGATTAACATATGTCACCAAAATATACAAGGAGTAACATCATTGCAGAATCTTGAAATTCTATTGTAGACATCAGACACTAAGTATCAAATAGTATGTTTATCAGAACACTGGATAAAGCCAGGGGAAGAATAATTTATAAAATTAATGGGATACAACCTGAAAAATAGTTATTCTCGTGAACATATGAACAGAGAAGGGGTATGGATCTTTGCCGAAGAAAAATCAGAATTCGAAGAATTGAAAATCTATGACGACTGGAACATAGAAGGAAACTTTGAGATGTGTGCAGTAATAAACAAATCACAGAAACTGTTGGTACTTTGTCTATATAGATCGTGTCTAGGTGCTTTTAACGTTTTTCATGATATACTAGAAATATTGAATAGACAAATATATCAAAAATTTAAAGATTTATACTGTAATATGGGGAGGAGATTTTAATGTCAATTTGATTTTGGAGGAAGGGGCATTTTTCTACTTAAAAAAAGGGAACAAAGAGACAAAGTTTTAAACATTTTTAATAGCTACAATTTTAAACAGACAATATTTGAAATAACTAAGCCCAATAAAGTTGAATTGTCATGCATCGACAACTTTTTTGTGAACACTGAGAACTTTACTAATAACCAAGTGGTGATCACAGCACTAAGTGATCACCATGGACTAAAAATATCTTTAATGAAATCACAGTTAAAATCAAATAATTCTCAAAAAACCTTTACAGGAAGAAGCTTCACATAGGAAAAATTAAAACAGCTTAGGGCAGTGAAGGCTGGTGAGAGGAAAAGTTGGCGGTGCACACACTCAGGGGGAAAGCCCCAGAGGCGCGCAAATTTTTTTGGACTGACCCAAACTAACCCAAATTTTGATCTAAAAGTTGTAAAAAAAACACGCCTCAGAAAGTTTTTTCACTTATTCTCAATTCAAACGTGGGCATTTACCATTTCTACAAAATAATAAATGAAGCACGGGCGGAGTACGAGAAATTTAATAAAACAGTTTTATATAAAATAAGACATAAGGCACCATACAAATCAAATAGGAATCAAATTTATAAAAAATATCTACTGCACTGTCTTTCCAGACGAAACTGATTTCTTTGCGGCAGGCACTTCAAAGAAGTATGCCGCCCTATGGCGCCAGGGACGCCGCTAAAAAATCTAACCAATAAGATATTCCTGGAGTCAACGTTGACTGTCTATCGATAGTCGAATCAAATGAGACAGTAAAAAAAATTAAATTCCTTTGGTGTTCTGCGTTTCAGCCCCAGAGATTTCCAGACTTTTCCAGACATTATCCAGACAGAGATTTCCAGAGTTTTCCAGATTTCATCCAGATTTATCCAGACTTGTACAGACTGATCCGGATTCTGGAAAATGATCCCCAGGTCTTTTGGGACCTTTTCCAGAATTTTATCGACCCTTTCAAGAATTTTCCAGGCCTTATCCAGACGTTCCAGAGATTTCCAGACATTATCCAGACATATCCAGAGCTTTCCAGAGTTTTCCAGACTTTATCCAGATTAATCCAGACTTGTTCAGACTAATCCCGATTCTGGAAAATGATCTCGAGGTCTTTTGGGACCTTTTTCAGAATTTTTCCAACCCTTTCCAGAAATTTCCAAGTCTTTTCCAGACGTTTCAAGAGATGTCCAGACTTTTCCAGACAATATCCAGACTTATCCAGAGTTTTCTAGAGTTTTACAGACTTTATCCAGATTTATCCAGACCTTATCCAGACTTGTACAGACTGATCCGGATTCTGGAGAATGATCCCCAGGTCTTTTGGGACCTTTTCCAGAATTTTTCCGACACTTTTAAGAAATTTCCAGGCTTTTTCCAGACGTTTTCAGAGATTTCCAGACATTATCCAGAGCTTTCCAGAGTTTTTCAGACTTTATCCAGATTAATCCAGACTTTATCCAGACTTGTTCAGACTGATCTGGATTCTGGAAAATGATTCCCAGGTCTTTTGGGACCTTTTTCAGAATTTTTCCAACCCTTTCCAGAAATTTCCAAGTCTTTTCCAGACGTTTCCAGATTTCCAGACTTTTCCAGGAAATATCCAGACTTATCCAGAGTTTTCCAGAGTTTTACAGACTTTATCCAGATTTATCCATACCTTATCCAGACTTGTTCACACTGATCCGGATTCTGGAAAATGATCCCCAGGTCTTTTGGGACCTTTGGCAGAATTTTTCCGACCCTTTCCAGAAATTTCCAGGCTCTTTTCAGACTTTTCCAGAGATTTCCAGACTTCATCCAGATTTATCCAGACATTTTCCAGACTTGTTCCAGCTCACTTGGCTTGTTCCAGGTTCTTGTTGTGTGTTGTGTGTTAATTAAATTGCCGCAAAAACTAATCCGGGCCGTTTGATCAGGTGGCCCCGTTTATACGTATAAAAACAGCTGGTTACTGGGAGCGCGGCGTGACCTTCTCCAACGTAATTGCCGTGTTGCAACGGGGCCGGGCCGTTGTGAGATGGGCTCGGACGGATAGTCCAGCGAGTTTAGTTTAGTCAGTCGCTTAAATTATTGTCTAGGAAATTTAGGAATAATAACGACAGAAACTTTTTCGTCGGGATCAAATTATAAAATGATAAGTAATTTGATCTGACGATTGTAATAACTATTGAACTGAAAAAAAAAAAATATTTTAAAAGGACCGACATATTTTGCGCCAGTGCCACGGCCCCTTGGCCCCTTAGGGCCAGCCGCCATTGGCTTAGGGTAGCAATAGGAGATACCTATTTCATAGCAGGATGTAATGGAAGAAAATAACGCACAAAAGGCATACGCCCTACTACACAGCAGACTTGTCCAAGTCCTAAATGTGATGTTTCCGGTGAGAGCAAGAAGGATAAGGCCATCAAACAAGGATCATTGGATAACAAAAGGTATAAGAATTTCATCAAAAAATAAAAGAAAAATATATGAACTCTATTTGAAAGGGAAAAAAAAGCAAACAGTATTATAAAAAATATTCAAATATCTTGAAGAAAATAACAGGAATGGCAAAAACTTTAAACAATAGAAAATTTATACAAAAGGCAGATAATAAAACAAAAGCAACTTGAACTGTAATAAACAGAATAACTAAAAAAAATAATAAAAAAAGATCCCTGTTTGATGACTTAGATTACAACAATAAAAAAACAGCTATTGAACAAAATTAACGATTTTTTCCTAACAAAATGCACAGACATAAATGACAACAAAGAACTCGCTTGTCAAAAAACAATTCGTTGCAAAGAGAGTATAGTGCTTGGGGAAGTAGCTCCACAGGGGATTACACAAATAATAAAAAATCTTAAAAATAAAAAGTCAAGCGGTTATGATGAGATACCCATATGCTACCTAAAATAAACGGCAGATCTACTGGCACAGCCACTTTCCTACACAATTAACTTATCACTACAATAAGGTATATTTCCATCTCTACTAAAAATCACAATAGTTAAACCAATCTTTAAAAAGGGTGAAAGGAGTGAAATTAAAAACTACAGACCAATATCACTATTATCAAATATTGGCAAAATTTATGAAAAAGTCATACACAGCAGGCTAGTAGGCTTCATAGAAAATCAGAATATATCATCCAACAGACAGAATGGCTTCAGAAGGGGAAAATAAACTGTCACAGCCATATATCAAGCACTAGATAAAATCATAGTCAGTAAACAAAAAAAATCAAACAACGGCAGTATGTATTGACCTTTCTGCAGCATTTGACTGTGTGGATCATGAAACACTCTTAAAAAAGTTGGAATTGTGTGGGATGAGGGGAATTGCTTGGAGATTAATGAGATCGTACCTAACTAAAAGACCTCAAAGCATTGAAGAAACACTGGAAGAGGGCGAAAAATTAAAATCAGATTTTGATTACATTAAAAGAGGGATTCCGCAGGGGTCGATACTGGCTCCACTCCTTTACATTGTATATACAAATGAGGTAGAAAACATAATTAACAACGAAGTCTATGCATTTGCAGATGACAAAAATGTAATAATTAGTAAAAAAAATGAAACACAGATAGTAACAGAAATCAAAGGAACATTAGAAAATCTGGAAACTTGGTTTGGATCAAACAACCTAAAAATGAACATTCAAAAAACACAAATTATAAATTTCAAACCAAAAAACAGAGAGTTGCTACGTATACAATGTGGTGGGGAGATATTGGAGTCAGTGAAAAATGTGAGATTCCTGGGAGTTACGCTGGACAGCAATCTAGACTGGAGAGATCACGTTCAGGAAGTGGCGAAGTCTTTGAGAAGATATTCGTATGCTTTAAGAAGGCTGAGAGATGAGGTAGATTTAGAAGCTTCAGTCTCGGCCTTCCATGCCTACATTCAATCAAAAATTAGATACGG